CGATTACGTCGAGACGGATGGACCAATCGGAACGAAACCTTTTGCATCTGGTAGAGTATGTCTCCCGATTGATCTCGCAAAAAAAATGTTTGTATTTTTTCATTTCTAACGACTTATATCGCAAAAAACGTAATATTTCGTTTATATCTTCTGGCGTTTATGCTGCAAGGAATGTATAGTTCGCAATGAAACCTTTTCATATTTAGTAGGATATACAGGTGTCAGGCTACTACCTCGACAGCCGAAGAAGGATGATTGCTAAGGGGATTCTAAACAACTTTTTCCTTTGCCAAATGGTTGGTTAAGGCTCGGTTTTCAAGTTAATAACACAAACCACCGACCAATACGAGCGCGTATAGAGCGCAGTCCCAGGGGACCTGCAGTGTCGGGTGCGGAAACCTGACCTGACGTAGGTCGCGAACGAACGGCCTGGCACCCGTTGGCATAGCACAATAAACAACTGAACTGGTAGAACATTTTTAGTCGCTGTTTAGAATGAATACGGAACCTAATCTCTTATCGCCTGTCATAATGTAAAAAAGAAATTCTAAGGATTCTAAATAACAAATAAAAATGTTTGAAGTGGTATAATTAATAAACGTTTGAATTGGAGGCTACGCTAATGATGCAAAATTTGAAAACAATTTAAATGAAACTTACCCATTCGTTTCTAAATTAACCTTGCTACGCTGAAAGCAAATAATTCCCACTAGGTCACTGTGTCGATTCTGGACATTCGACGAGGAAACACCTCGCCTATTATTCATACCCTAAGTGCAATAAATGAGGGAGTTCACTGACCCGATAATGAAAACTGCCTGTTCTACGAACGTGTTTCCTCGTTTCCCAGTGACAATTATCTGCTTTCAACATAGTAGGTTGATTTAGGAACGTTATTAATTATTCCATTTCAATCATCTTCATTTGTTGTTTAGAATGCTTTGAATTTCATTTTTTACATTATGATAGGCGACCAAGAGATTAGGTTCCGTATTTATTTTAAACAACGACTAAAAATGTTCTACCAGTTCAGCATTTTTTATTGTGCTATGCCAACGGGGAGGTGTCGAGCCGTTCGTTCGCGACCTACGTCAGGCTCGGTTTTCATAGCCGACATTGCAGTCCCTGAGCCGCGCGCTGTACGCGCTGGTGTTTTTTGTTAATAACTCGAAAACGAACCAACATTTTTGGCAAAGGAATATGTTGTTAGAATCGCCCTTAGCAATCATCTCTCTTTGGCTGTCGAGATAGTCGCGTGACACCCTGTATATCCGCGATGATCCCACTCGCAAAAAATTTATGAAATTTGTTGTTTATTAACCATTTAAGTTCGGTGAATATTTTTTTTGGTTTATGGTTATTAGCCTAAAGCAACAGAAATCCAAAATCACCTTACAGTATCCTACAAATACTACAGATTCCACTAAAAAGTGTGAAATAAAATAATTTTTAACAAAAAACAAATCCGACTTCGAAATGCACTAAAAAGTGTCAAATAATTTCTATTTCATTTATACCAATATTCCAGAGCTATTAATAACATCTTCTTAATCGTTAAATAGGATACCAAATACATTTCAAAGTTTTCGGAGGCGGGCGCAAAATTAAAAACTTTCTTCAACTAGGAAGATCCTAGTTCAGGCGTCGGCAACCTATGACTAATGACCCATTTGATAATTTCAAGTAAACAATATTCAACGGGAGTCAACATACCCATTGCGGATTAACTATATTGCAGTTCACGAGAGACCATACTTAACTCACGCAGCTCTGTAGGTCTAGGGACATTTTTAATAACATGTGTGATTCCCCTCTACAGCTTGCTTATTACTTTGCGATCATATAATTTTTTCTTTGAAAAATAATAGGAATTTCATTGTATCGTGTATCTTTACCATATCGTCTTCGGGTATCAGTTATCGTACGTCATATATTTCTGTCCACCATTTAAATGATCGCAAAGTAAAAAGCAAGCTGAAGGGAGAGAACGACACACGTTATTAAAAATGTCCCTAGACCTAGTGAGCTGCGCGAGTTAAGTGTGGTCTCTCGTGAATTGCAGTATACATGTATAACAGAAGTGCTACCAACTGCTGATACAATCGTTACAAATACTAATGTTTTCTGCCGTATTTATAACGTTTCGAATTTTTTTTCTTACGACTTATTAATTACCAGGTTTGCCATACCGCAGTTTTTTGTTAAAAATTATTTTATTAACACTTACCTTTTCCTGTGCCGTGGCTTTTTTTGATTTTTGCTTTTTTCGCGCCTAAGTGCTGACAGCAATGCATTCATTTTTTTCTTGCACACATCTCTTGTGGTGCTTAGCTCTTGTGCTTTTTTTATCCCACGCATCACGTTTTTTAATTTTATGATAATACTTGGGATGCTGAGGATCCCACAATATTTCATGTTTTCGATAATTTTCGATTAATTGCAGCACATTCTCTTCGGTCCACTCCATTCTTCACAGATTACAATACTGACTAAATGCGATGTTTTTCTGTATGGATGCACTGCAGGTTCGTATTCACGTCCAAACTTGCATAGATGGGGTGTATCGTGAATGCGTAACATTTCTTTAATGTGACGGCGAAAAACCGACAACTGATGATGGACGTTGCGATGTTACGATGTTACGCTCTTACGGTGAGGCGTCCACACTTGATACACGACGGAGTTACGTTACTGTGTTCTGTTGCATGTCTGTACCCACCTTTACGGTCAAATTTAGCCAAGTATCACTGTACTTTGTTTCTATTATGCCAACGAACGACCACTGTCCTGTTGCCGTAAACATGGAGCACATATGTTATCCACTGCACGGTAGCACTTACCGTTCGCGAACATCATTAGAACACTTCTGTAGCGATTGGTTTCTTTTGCCATTTTCTTTTGCCAATTTCTAAACCATTTTCATCTAACTTTATAGTTTTCGAGATAATCAATGTTAAACAGAAATTGCAATTATTCAACTTTGGAATTGATTTATGCTCTTCACAATAGTAGATATTCAGGTTCTTTTTTCACGTAATAATTCTGTGGAATGTACCGAATAAAATGAGATTAAATTTTTTATTACATTATAGACATATTAATATGTTTAAATATTAATGGAAGTGGAAGAGACGCCTAAATCGCACGAACGTCGACTGATATTTTTTATTATATTTCAAAAAACTAACAGTCTAGGAGAAAATCTAATTATATCACACGATAGAGAAACATTTTTGCTAAGTATAACATTAAAGCAATATGTAAAAACTAGGTTTCTACTTTAAAAATTTAAGCCTGATAACTTGGCATAGAAGGAAGGAAACATACTCGCAAAACGTACACGTCAATCAGGTCGACCGTAGCCGTTGAGAACCTACTGCTGTTGTGGCCGGCGCCTACTTCCCGGTGAGCCGTCCTGTCGGAAAATGCAATTCGGCCTACCACAGCGCCCTCTTTAATTGTAGAAAGCGGGAACATGCGTTTCCCCCTCCCTCGCCAAGCGTGGCGTGGGTCACCTCTTGCCCCTCGCACTCATGGAGTATGGAAGTCCACGTTTTCCAAAGATTGGGTTGTGAACTTTTCTAAGTAAAAAAACTCTGTGAATAATAACCAAAAGTTTAATCTTGGACTGACTCATTTTAAATAAAGGCTAGTATTTAGTTTTGTGAACAATCAACCGGCGTTAAAAACACTTTAGTTTTTCTATAAGACCAAGTATCTCTGTTGGTACAGTAGAAGCCATAATTTACCGCATTTCTGCGAAGGTCCCTACAATTTGTGACCCCGACGTGATCTCGATAGTTTTATAATTACTTCGTAAAAAAAAGGTGTTATCAAAAAGGACGCTAAATTATACAAAATGGCGGTCGCACGCTCCCTGACGCGGCTCGACAGAGACGCCATGACAGCAGGAGAGCCTGAAGAAGCCTTTCTTCCATCGGTGTCGGCAGGGACGAATGCAACCGTATATTCTGCATCCTTAAGAAATTACCTCCTTTTTGGGAAAGAAAACCCCGTATTGTGGTTCGCTCAAGTGGAGGCAGCCTTCGATTTGGCAAGGATTACCAGCGACGACAACAAATATCGACACGTTATTACGCATTTAGATCAGGTCGTGTTACCTTTCGTGGCGGATATTTTGACCCAACCACCGGCTAGAGGGAAATACGAGGCTATTAAAAATAAAATAATCGGCACTTTGATGAATCGCCTCTGAAAGCAAACTGCGACATGTGCTCCGTGGTCGCGCGTCTGGGTGACCGAAAAACCGTCGTATTATTTGCAACGTATCAGGAATCTCGCTGGTGGCCAAATCAGCGAAAACGTGCTGCGGTCGCTATTTTTGGATCAGTTGCCTGATAACATTCGGAGTATTCTGGCGATTTCTGAGACACAGGATCTTGGAAAGTTGGCAATACAGGCCCGACAAAATCATAGAATGCAGGCGATTAACGTGGCGGCAGTTTCGAGCGCGCCAAGGGCAGTTTCTCCTCATGGCAGGATGGCGGCGCTTCAGGAATCAGGTTGGCGACCCTAGCCAAGATGGTTTGAGGTGCTGACCACGCTGGACTCTCACTGCTGACCTCACCACGACAAACTTAGCGGCGTAGGACGCAGCGGCCTCGAGACGAGGGCAGGTCTCCTCCCGGGCAAAGGTCATCTTGCTGCAGCGATGGGAACTTTGTTTCTATCATCGTCGATTCGCGGAGCGGGCCACATCGCTTGCGTCATTCCCATGCAAGCTGGACTGGACCGCCACCGCCGGAACTACCGATCAGCAGGCCTTTCGTTGCAGTTGCAGCCGGAAAACTAGAGGAGCCTTTCCGCCTTATGACGGCTGCGGACTGGGCCTCCCTAATAAATTGCCGTCTCGTGTAAATGACTGTTTGAGTAATAAGATTCCACTCTAGATATAGGGCGCAGATAATTCGGTGTGCCGCCACAGATCCGGCAACAAAAAGAGAGGTCTACCCCTTCGGATTTAACATATATGCGGCCTAATGGCACGGTCATCCAGACTTATGGGACGACCGATTGGTCACTTGAATCTAGGTTTACGACGCCCATTTTTATGGGAGTTCATCGTAGCAAACGTTCAGCAACCTATCATCGGCGCAGATTTTTTGCGCAAACACGGTCTTCTGGTGGATCTTAGAAATAGAAAGCTCATTGACGGTCTGACGAAACTGCATACGGTAGGACAGGTTAGTACTATTCCTCAACTCTCTCTTACCACAATTGACAATAATAATCCGTATCAAGATCTCCTTAGACAATTCATTCACGTTACACGGACGATACAGTGCCACACAGAGCCAAAGCACAAAGTTCGACACCACATCATTACAAAAGATGCGCCTTGTGCAGAGAGGGCACGTAGATTACCTACAGAAAAATTCAAGGCAGCGCAGGCGGAAATCAACCACCTTATAGCGCAGGGAATTTGCATTCTTTCTAGTAGTTCGTGGGTCAGCCCTCTGCACATGGTGCCCAAAAAGAACGGTGGGTGAGGCTGTGTGGAGATTACAGGCGATTAAACAATATGACAGTTGCGGACAAGTATCCCATTCCTCACATCCTGGACTTTGCACGCAGACTGGACGGGACGAACATTTTTACAACTCTTGACTTGGAAAAAGCATATCATCAGATTCTGATGGCACCAGAGGACCGTGAAAAAACTACAATAATAACACCCTTTGGTTTGTATGAATATAAGGTTATGACGTTTGGGCTTAAAAACGCTGCTCAGACGTTCCAAAGGTTTATGGATGCAGTTTTAAGGGGATTCGATTTTGTGTTTTGCTTTGTTGATGACATTTTAATAGCATCAGCGAATGAAGCAGAACACAGGCAACATTTGCATTTGGTTTTCGAGCGTTTGCAAGAGTACGGCGTTTCTATTAATGTGGCGAAGTGTACTTTGGTTCTCCATCCGTACGATATTTGGGGTACCTAATAGATAATAAGGGAGCCAAACCGTTACCGGAGAAAGTGAAGGCAATTATTGACTATACAAAGCCAAATACTATCGCAGATTTGCGACGTTTTTTGGGCGTTGTTAATGTTTGGAATAGGAAACCGACACACGGTTTTTGTTTTAATAAAATTAACAAAACGGGCATATACGTGGATGCAAAAGGCTTTTTATTTCTCTCCTGTAACACGTGCTCTTATCGATAGAGCGGATTCACACACAGGAAGTAGTATAGCTCGTCCAGGAGGGCGCGCTTGCGCATCTCGCTCTCTCACTGATGCGTAACAGTATGCATTGGTTTATGCATGTTTGTCTCAACAGTTAATTTTTATCGCCGTTTTGTAAAGAATGCTGCTTTCATTCAGGTTCCGTTGAATAAATTTTTAGAAGGCGCTAAGAAGCGAGATAAGAGACCAATCAAATGGACCATCGAGACTTTTTTTTTTTTTTTTTTTTTATTTAAGCTTTTGAAACCTCATACGAGGTTTTATTTCTTGCTAACATAGTTGTACATTTGCAAACCAAATTTCTACATTTTGCGGTAATTAATTTTAACTCGTTGAAGTTGAAGGAAATCATGGAGCATTTACAAACGAAGATAAATTAAATCAAATGAGAAAGCAATTGAACCATAGAATCGAAGCCTTAAGTTGTTACGTCCCGTCTTGCGGGGGCGTTTATTAATATGCTAAATCACTAGATAGGGTTCTGCCGTTTAAAGCGCCTAAGGCGCACCATAGACCTAACCTTTCAAAGATAAGGGGGATATAGGTGCGAGACCGGGGATCAAAATACGCGATTTAGGTTATTCGAATGTGCTATGTGTATTTCATTTGGCTATGTCTTCATTACCTTTCGCTGTCTTCGGGTCGTCGTCCGCAATTTGCTTCTCTTGCATGCGTCGGTCACTCACACAAAGAGGTCTCGCTTTACACTTAGTACGCGGATTCGACGGAACACTAGACTCGCGGGCGTGGCTACGACTCGACCCTTGGAAGATGCAAGCGGTTGGTGGTGGTCCCTGCACAGCCACAGGATGCACTCCTGGAGCTTGTCCTATTATGGGCCTGGAACGCCAGGACCTCGGGGATACTCCTCGTGTTGAACCGGTCGGCCGAGCACGTCGTTGATGATCTTCCTGGTTTCGAGTCTAGCCAAAACGCGGGTTGCGAAACGAGCAGAACTTCGTCTCTGCTTTACGCTATCACGGAAACTGAGTTACTTGCGTCGCGCCGATAACTTATACTCCCAAAAGGGGAGTAGGTCACGCTCTTTGCTTGCGAAAACCTGCAAGCAAAGGGTTTTCGCCATCGCATTCCGCGAGTTCCCTGATTTCGTATCGCGGGCGTCGCTAAGCGAGGAAATGCTGATGTTCTGCGGATTCCAGAGCAAGACCTCTTTGGAATGGCGAAAGACGAAAATGGGTTACACCTAGGGACGTAACAAAGTAACTAAATGTACAGGTTACAATTTTTTAAAAACGAGAAGATGCAGAGGCAGGCTCTAATATCCGGCTTCGCAATATGTATTTCTATACTAAGTGGTAGACTGTAGGAGAGTTTTTTCAAAGAAGCAATTAATTTACTCCTTTGAGGATCATATAGCTGGCACTGCCATATAATGTGATTTAAATTTTCGCTGGCAGCGTTACATTTGCATGTGGGATCATTTATGAAATTGATACGAGCTAGGTTTGACCTACATCTATTAATGGTAACAATAAACTCTCGAGACAGACATTTTCCTGAGTACCAAGGTGTCTTTTTTCCAGAGTGATAGAGCTGGAAGTAGGTCTTGCCCTTGAGGAGGCCCTGCTCACGAAGAGAGTTGACAGTTAGAGCAAAGGCTTTGGAATTAACATTTCGAATAGGTCTGTGAAGGGAACTGAATGAACGTCAAGAGTAGAGGAAGAAGTCATAGATTTTGCAAGCTCGTCAACAAACTCATTTCCTCAAACTCCCATATGCGATGGAATCCAATATAGCTCGGATAGAAGTGTTATAAGGATTTTCACTTATAAAGTCGTTATATTTTTCTTTTGATTTCAAAGATATAGGGGTTGGTTTTAATATTGCATTTGGTAGACTGTAGAGACTGAAGGGCGCTAAGTGAATCGGAAAAAATATGAAAGTTTCTATTTCGATTTTGCAGGGCAAAGTCGAAAGCATCATTCAACGCAATGCACTCGGCAGTAAACACAGAAGCAAAATTGTTGATGGCTTTTTTGGAATGTAAGTTTAGTTTAGGGCAAGACCAAGCAGCCCCGACAGCAGTAGAACCTGCAATTTTACTGCCATTCGTGTAGAGATCGAGAGCATCGCCGCTCCCTACCAGCTCGCTCAGCATCTGGTTCGCATCTCCGACATCTCTTATAGTTTGACCAAGTGATGTATTGATAGGAATTGAGGTAGTTAAGACATTATAATGGAAGCAGTATAGGCTGTGATTAGTACGAGTATCTATTATCGGACTGATGCCTGTGTCCATTATTTCGAAGATACATTGGTGGAGAATTCTTCTCTTGTTTGATGGATATTTTTTGGCAATATTGAAAAAGCTTTTTATCGTTTTGCAAGTGAGAGAGTTTTTAATGGATAGGGTCTTAGCTATGAAACATTTTGCCTAAATATTTGGCACGGTCGCTCAGAAAAGTTAATTTTGATTCCGCCAGCAAAATGTTAGTGGGAGTGCTTTTTCGGAGGCCCAGAGCTGCCCTAATTGCCGAAAATTGGATCCTTTCAAGTTTTCCAAACAAGCTTTTGCGTGAGGGGAAATATATGTAGCAGCCATAATCAACGATGGATCGAACCAAGCTCTTGTAAAGAGTTAATAAAGTATCAGGGTGAGAACCCCACCAGGTACCACAAAGGAATTTAATTATATTAAGAGCTTTGTAGCATCTCTTCTGTACAAGGCTAGTGTGATTCGAGAACGACAAGTTATAGTCGAATACAATTTTCAAAAATGGAACAGAGGCACTGGATTTTATTTTGAAATCATCCAATTTTATTTCAGTGCAGCCTGGCAATATTTTTTTATTATTAAAGTGAATAAATGTAGTTTTACTTGGTGTGAGTTCTAAACCTAGTGCCAAGAGGTTTTGTTTTATTTTCAGTATAGCGTTTTCTAGCATTCTTATACCCCTTTTAGTTGTTGCGCATTTCACAAAGACCGCGATGTCACCCGCGAACTGAGAAATAAAGACGGTTTGGAAACATCGTCAGTTATGTTTGCTACGTACAACAAATAAAGAAGAGGGCTTAATACGCCTCCTTGAGGGACCCCCTCGTGAGCTAGTCTTGGAGTGTTTTCCATGGAATCAGTGAAAATCATCCTTTCATGTGTAAGGAACTTAATAAACTGGATCAAAGCTTTGGGGCACCCAAGCGAGGCCAATTTAGAAAGCAAGATGTCAATATTAACATTGTCAAAAGCTCCCTGAACGTCCAGAAAAGCGGCTAATACATTCTTTTTTTCTGAGAAGGCTTCGTCAATTTTTAAAGTGAGGTTGATGAGGTTATCGGCGCAAGATTTGCCTTTCCTGAATCCGTTTTTATCCGACTTCGAAAAGGAGGAGGATACTCAATTCGCTGTGTATGTATTTTTTTTTATTTTTTTTTTTTTTTATGTATGTTCACCGATCACGTCGAGACGGATGGACCAATCGGATCGAAACCTTTTGCATCTGCTAGAGTATGTCTCCCGATTGGTCCCGTTAAAAAAAAAATTTGCATTTTTTCATTCCGAACGCTTTTTATTGCAAAAAACGTACTATTTGATGTACGTGCGGTATACGTTCGTCGGTTACTTCGAGACGGATGGATCAATCGGAACGAAACTTTTTGCGTCTTATAGAGTATAACTCCCTAATAGTCCCATAAAAAAAATATTTTGCATTTTTTCATTCTTAATAATTTTTAATGTATGTTCACCGATTATTCCGGGACGGATGGACCAATTGGAACGAAACCTTTTGCATCTGGTAGAGTATGTCTCCCGATTGGTACCGTTAAAAAAAAATTTTGCATTTTCTCATTCCTGCCAATTTTTATTTCAAGAAAACGAACGGCTTCATTTATATTTCTTTCTTTCGGCGTTTACTCTACGGGGAATATACCGATTACGACTTTTCAACATTATCCGTGAAATGAAATGAAATGAAAAAAAAAAAATAGACTTCGTCATTTTCTCTACCAGTTGGTCGCTAAAAGAAGGGTTGGCTTCCTTCTTCAGGTATCAGTCGCTGGAAGCTAATTTGGACTGTTTCTTTGCAAAAGTAACCGTCGTAATCTTTGCATTTCTGCGAGTGCTCTTTCGTCATGCAGTTTAACGAGGACTTTGTTTGGTGCTAAATCAGATAGAGCTAAACCATCTAAACTTTTGACACGACTAAGAGCGACGTAAATTTGGCCTTTTGCAAAATTCTTTTTGCCAAGATCAATTACAGCTTTGTTTAATGTAGTCCCTTGTAATTTATGCACCGTTACTGTCCAACTTAGAATAAGTGGTAACATTCTGCGTTCGACGTCCCCA